AACCGCGTCCTTGAAGAAACCTGGATGCCACGCTTGTTGTTCTGTTTGCGTGATCTTGTGTTGGAGACGTTCGGTGACTGCGTGTCTGGACACGACGGCAAAACGGATCACCGCGGCAGGATTCATCTCGGAGCCCTTCAGGCGAAAGCTCAGGATCGTGACGGCGTGGGTGGCCCCATGAACATGACCCGCAACTGCGGTCTCTGCGATGATGTGCGGGCGCACGAGCACCAGGCCCGTCTCTCTGAACAGGGGAACCGTCGTCCAGTAAGGCTCCTCGGAGGCGTTTTTCATAGTGACAGCGTTGTCGATGGCACTCCTGAGTCCAACGCGAACGTCGTAGCTGCAAGCGCCTTCGACGTTCCCCGTGCGGAACAGCTCGGGGTCCCATACGACGAAGACGACCGCCGCAGTTTGGTGCAAGATGCACCTGAAGACATCTTCCTTTGTTGCCACCTTCGTGATGACCACCACGTTGAACACCAAAGCGATGGTGGACGGAACCCGATTGCCGTCTGCTGTACGAAGGAATCCTTCGTTCCACTTGGGGCGTTCCCCAAAGTAGTTTATCCCTGGAGGGGACCTGGTCCGCTGCTTCTTCCGCGGTGCTCCCGCATCTTCCCGCAACTGCGGTTCCGACGGAGGCCCCGCGCGACCCCGCGACTGCGGTTCTGACAGCGGCGAGTCTTCCGTGGGAGGCGGCCTTTTCCTCGGCCGCGAATCGGCCGAGGCGGTTGTCTCGGCGGCTTTCTCCTGGGAGGCGGCCTCGTCTTCGGGTTGGGCGCCTCGTTTGGACTCGGCTGCGAGCAGCACGGCCGAGGGCGCGCTGCTCCCAGATGAGCCGCGCGCGGCACCTGGCTCGCCGGCCACCCCCGCAACTGCGGTCTCGGTGGCGGCTCCCGTCACTGCTGGTTGGTCCTGCTGCTTCGTCGGCGTCTGCGCCCGAGGCCCCCATTTTGCCTTGGGGGTCAAGTGCGCCCTGCGCAACTGCGCCTCTTCGCGCCTCCCACCAGCAGAGCTCCCACTCGCAGCGCTTATCGGCGGCGGCGGCCGATATTCCCGCGAGGAGCTAGACGACTGCGGGGAGGCCTCGCGCGGCGGTCGCTCGGGGCTTCCGCTACTGCGGTCCCCCGTCGGCTCCGCGACTGCGGCATCCGCGGCAGCCCCTTGCGCGCCGAGCCTTTCCCGCAGTTGCTGCTTCAGCTCGGCGAACCGCTTGTCGACCTCGGCTTTGCGAGCTGGGTCCATGGCGTGGCCGCGCGCGGCCCCCGTCCGACGGGGGAACTGCGGCCGGCTTGGGAGAGGAACGGCAACGAGGGAGACGGCGGGGATGAGGACGAGGAAGGCGAAGAGGAGGATGGAGAGGACGCGACGGAAGAGGATGGCGCGAAGAGCTCAGACGAGGGTGAAAGGAGCAAGGGGACTGCGACGAGGATGACGGGCAAGAAACGGAGGAGGAGGAATCAACAAAGTCCGCAACTGCGGCCCTCGGGGGGGAAAGCGACGAGGACGACGGGAAATGACTCGGCCAACGGAGGCGGGCTACGGCCAACGGAAGGAACTGCGACGAGGAGGAAAGGCGGAGGGAGGAGACTGCGACGAGGACGACGGGGAAGGGGACGAGGACGACGAACAACTGCGGATCCATCTGTTTAAGTACCTGTCTCCGCAACTGCGGCCGCGCTACTTAACGTCACGAGTGCTTCAACGGAGGTGATGCGCGCCCGAAGCACCTAATTACAGCGGTCAGTCGTGGGAGCGCCGCAACTGCGGCCAAGCTGTATGAAGTCGCTAGAAGGCAGCGCCGCAACTGCGGCCGAAAGCGCGCATAGTGAGTCAAACGAGCGCGGCGTCACGCGATCGGTCCCCGCAACTGCGGTTCCATGGCTGCGCAATCCCGCAACTGCGGTGTCAAGGCTGCGCGGACCACCGCGGTTGCAGCTGCGCCCCCTTGCTCGCGTCGAACCGCCCAGGATTCGGATGGGCGTGCAGCATCTTCCAGAACGTGAACGTTCCGTGGCCATCGCTCTTGCCGAGACCTGCCCTCGGGCCCCGCACGGGATGCGAGTGCGGCTCCACCTCATACGTGTTGAACTTCGGGCTAGACCAGGATGGGTGGACGCGAATGCCCGAGCCGTCGTCGCGGATGAGGACGAAATCCCACTGGGGCAGAGGGATTCTTTGCGCCTGTCCTCTGTCCACCCCTTTCGTGTGCCTCATGTTGTCGAGACTGCTAGGGCACGGGCGGCACTCGCAGCGGACCAACCCGCGACTGCGGTCATTGTCAGGGCCGCACACGACGCGCAGCATTGTAGGTCCATCCATCTGCGCGACCATCTCCAGCCAAGACCACGGCACTTTGACAGTGTGGTCCCAGTCCCAATCCCTGTTGTCCTGCGCCTTCCCCTTTGCGCGGTACTTAAGGATCTTCGAAATTTCCTCCGCAACTGCGGTACCTCCGAAGACGGGCGTGCGGCTGCCGAAAGGGTTTTCTCGGTCTTCGTACTCGTCTCGGAACCACTTCAAGGCCGCGTTGTGCTGCTTATAATTGCCGTTCCAGTTCGCCCTGAAGTTCTCGAAGAATTCCAACTTGAAAATTGGCAGCGGCTCATTGCGCACAATTTGAAACAGCGCAACTGCGCCTTGTTCTTCGCGCCCTGGGGGAAGCAGGGGACCGCCTCCTTTGCCCGCCGCTGTTGCGGCCGCGGGCTCCGCGGCAGGAGAACCTGCCGAGGCACTCGAGCGGCCACCTTCCCATGCATTCCACCAGCCACCCTCGTCGTCCCACCAGCGGGCGCCCTCCATTCCCCAACCCTCGCATCCGTTGCCGCCCCATCCGCCGCCCTCCCATCCGCGACTGCGGTCACTTCCGTCGCCGCCATCCTGCGCTTTTCCTCTCCATCCGCCAAGAGAATCTCCGCCGCCCCAGCCGCCACTGCGGTCACCTCCGCCGCCGTATCCGCCACTGCGGCCGCCCCAACCCCCACTTGTTCCCCAACCGCCGCCGCTGCTCTTTGAAGAATCCGCAACTGCGGCCCGTGTTTCCTCTTCCGCTTTGTCATCCCACCCTGCACGCATCTCTGCCCCGACTGCAGGCCGCGGAGGCGGGCGCGAGCCCGCCCAACCGCCGTGAAACCTACCGTCGGCGCGGGCTTGAGCCGAACGTGCATGGAGGAGGAGGATGAGGAGGAGGAGGGTGAATGTGAGGAGGATGATGCGTTCCTGGGAGGTGTGCCTTCGCGTGCAACACAAGAGCCCTGAGAATTCCTGAGGCCCCTCCAACAGCCAAGGACGCGGATGACAAGAAAGTCGAGAAGATTGGGAACCGATTGAGGATTAAGAGGCGTGCGACGAAAGGGATGATGATGACGAAGAGGAAGATCAGTGAAGGGGAGGAGCGGACAGGAATTATGGAGGAGTGATAGCAGAGGAGGAAGAGGGGGAAGGGGGAGGAGGAGGAGGAGGAGGAGGAGGGAGAGGAAAAGGGGGAGGAGGAGGAGGAGGAAGAAGGTGAGGAGGAGGAGGAGGAGGAGGAGGAGGAGGAAGAGGAGGAGGAGGAGGAGGAGGAGGAGAGGAGGAGGACGACGACGACGAGGAGGAGGAGGAGGAGGAGAGGGAGAAGGAGAACGGGGACAGGAGGACAAGGACGGAGAAATATAACAAATGAGGGGGAGGAGGCGGAGGAGGAGGAGGACGAGGAGGAGAAGCAGGAAGAGGAGGAGGAGAGGGGGGAGGAAGAGTGCGCGTGAGACTGGGAGAACGAGGTAATTAATTAGAGAGGGAACGGGGGAGGAGGGAGGACAAGGAAGAGCATACAGCGACGAGAAGAGGAGAAGGAACAGACGAAGGCTCCTGCTGATCGCATTTCCGCATCGTTCAAAGCAGTGCCGGGGCACTGCTTTGAACGACTGGTGATGTTCAAAGCAGTTCCCCGGCACTGTGTTCCATCGTCGCCGTTATAAGGGCTATTGGATTATCTTGGAAGCGCGCCGGGGCCCCGGGGACCTCTGGGGAAGGTTCTGGGGACGTCTCATGGAACACCTTGGAAGCCTCTCGGGCCGGCTTGGGCCAATCTTGGGCCAATCTCGAGCGTCTGGGGCCCACCTGGGGGCCAGTTGAGCCGACTTGGAGGCCCTTTGGGCCCGTCTTGGGGCTCTCTTGGGGGCCTCTTCGGCCGTTTTGGGGACGTCTTGGGCGGTCGTGGATCGTCTGGAAGCCGACAAGGCCGGGACGGCAAAAACCTTGCCAACAAATAAGGAAATCAATGTTTTTTCTTTTGCTCGGGGCCCTCTGGGGAAGCTTCTGGGGAGGTCTTATGGAACACCTTGAAGACCTTTCGGGCCGACTTGGCCCTCTTGGGACCTTCTCGGCGTGTCTTGGAACCTCCCTGGGCGTCCCTGGGCGGCCCGGGGCCAGCCCGGGGCGGTTTTGACTTCATTGATCGCGCGGCATTCTGGTACGCACGACCCCCGTTGAGCCGACTTGGAAGCCCTTTGGGCCGTGTGGGGCCGTCTTCGGTGCAGCTCGGACCGCCTTGGAGCCGTCTTGGGCCGTTATTGACCGCTCTTGGGGCTGTTTTGGTTGCCTCTGGGGCCTTTTAGGGCGTCTCTGGAACCGTCGCGGGGCCGCCTCGGGCCGTTTGGGGGCCCTCCTGGGGGGGTGCTCTGGGGGCGTTGTGGGGCGATCGGGAAGGCCTGTATAGCCGTCTTGGACGCGGCGAAGACGAAAAGTGCGAGCATATCAAAAATGTATGTTTTCCGACGGGAATAAAGCAATATTTGCCTCTTGGGTTCCTCCTGGGAGTCCCTCATGGGCCTCCTTGGGAGCCTCCTGGCTTGCGTTGGAAGCCTCTGGGGCCGACCTGGGGTTCGGTTGGGTCCCTTCGGGTGGGGTTCGGTTGGGCGGCCTGGAGAGCCCGGTGGACCTTTCAAGACATAGGACCTTCTGGCACGCAAAGACCGCTGCATTGTAGAAAAGATGACGTCGGGCTCCAGCTTCGCCTCCCGCATCTCGCTCAGCAGCGCCAGCGCCCGCTGCCACTGCTCGCCCTTCTCGCACGCGCTGATCCCAGCGCTATAGCTGATGACGTTGGGTTCCAGCTTTGCCCCCCGCATCTCGCTCAGCAGCGCCAGCGCCCGCTGCCACTGCTCGCCCTTCTCGCACGCGCTGATCCCAGCGCTGTAGCTGATGACGTTGGGCTCCAGCTTCGCCTCTTGCATCTCGCTCAGCAGCGCCAGCGCCCGCTGCCACTGCTCGCCCTTCTCGCACGCGCTGATCCCAGCGCTGTAGCTGATGACATTGTGCCCCAGCTTCGCCTCCCACATCTCGCTCAGCAGCGCCAGCGCCCGCTGCCACTGCTCGCCCTTCTCGCACGCGCTGACCCCAGCGCTACAGCTGATGACGTTGGGCTCCAGCTTCGCCTCCCGCATCTCGCTCAGCAGCGCCAGCGCCCGCTGCCACTGCCCGGCCTTCTCGCACGCGCTGATCCCAGCATTGTAGCTGATGGCATTGGGCTCCAGCTTCGCCTCCCGCATCTCGCTTAGCAGCGCCAGCGCCCGCTGCCACTGTTCACCTTTCTCGCACGCGCTGATCCCAGCGCTATAGCTGATGACATTGGGTTCCAGCTTCGCCTCTCGCATCTCGCTCAGCAGCGCCAGCGCCCGCTGCCACCGCTCGCCCTTCTCGCACGCGCTGATCCCAGCATTGAAGCTGACTAGGGTGCACCCGTGGACTACGTCCACTTGCGAAGTGATGGGGCGCTGCCGTCAGGCGATCACGATGGATGGCGTCAGGTTCGCCTTCCACGTGTCGCCGAACAGCTTGTGCGCCGCCTGATTGGGGAGCATGGGAGATGAGGAAGTTCCATCGGGCCATGTGCAAAACGCATTGGGACAGGAGGCGCGATGGAGCAGCCGGGGGAGAAGAACATGGATGGCTCCCCATCCACCTCATTATCCTTCTGTTGCTCCTGTTCCTCCTCCTCCTCCTCCGTTTCCGTCTCTTCCTCCCCCTCCTCCTATTCTTCCTCCTCCTGCTCCTCGTCATCCTCCTCGTTATCCTCCTCCTTTTCCTCCTCCTCCTCCTCCTCCTCCTCCTCCTCCTCCTGACCCCCATCATCCTTCTCAGTGCACTCATGATCATCCTCGTCCCCCTCATCCCGTCCCTCATCTTCCGCTGTATTCTCCTCTCCTTCGGGTTCTCCAGCCTGTCCCTCTGCAGCGTTGGAACGCAGCGCGACAACACCCTTCGGCAAGGCGTCAAAAAATGCGGTTGCGTCGAAGGCGTCGGCAGGGCCCAGTCTCGCGGGGTTTTCCTAGGCCTCTCTCGGGGCTCTCTTCGAAGTTCCTGAGATCTTCTTGGGCTCCTTTGGGAAGCTCCTCGCGGCTTCAACGCCGTCTCGGTAAGGGCCTCGAAGGCGCCAGGACGGAACCAAAAAGAGCTTCGTGGTGTTCGTTTTGAGGGGCGCTCAACACGAACAGAGCGCGGCCTCTCGTGGGGGGCTCTCTTCGAAGTTCCCGGGGTTTTCTTGGGTTCCTTTCGGGGGCCCCTCGCGGTTTGAAGGCCGTCTCGGGAGGGGCCTCGAGGGCGCCAGGACGGAACAAAACAGAGCTTCCAGGTGTTCGTTTTGAGGGGCGCTCAAAACGAACAGTGCCCAGCCCGTGGTGGGGCTTTCCCAGGCCTCTCTCGGGCTCCCTTCGAAGCGTCTGAGATCTTCTTGGGCTCCTTCGGGAAGGTCCTCCCGGCTTCAAGGCCGTCTTGGTAGGGGCCTCGAGGGCACCAGGACGGAACCAAAATGAGCTTCGAGGTGTTCGTTTTGAGGGGCGCTCAAAACGAACAGTGCACGGCCTCTCGCGGGGTCTTCCTAGGCCTCTCGCGGAGCTCTCTTCGAAGCGTCTGAGATCTTCTTGGGCTCCTTCGGGAAGGTCCTCCCGGATTCAAGGCCGTCTTGGTAGGGGCCTCGAGGGCACCAGGACGGAACCAAAATGAGCTTCGAGGTGTTCGTTTTGAGGGGCGCTCAAAACGAACAGTGCACGGCCTCTCGCGGGGTCTTCCTAGGCCTCTCGCGGAGCTCTCTTCGAAGCGTCTGAGATCTTCTTGGGCTCCTTCGGGAAGGTCCTCCCGGATTCAAGGCCGTCTTGGTAGGGGCCTCGAGGGCACCAGGACGGAACCAAAATGAGCTTCGAGGTGTTCGTTTTGAGGGGCGCTCAAAACGAACAGTGCACGGCCTCTCGCGGGGTCTTCCTAGGCCTCTCTCGGAGCTCTCTTCGAAGTTCCTGAGATCTTCTTGGGCTCCTTTGGGTGGCTCCTCGCGGCTTCAAGGCCGTCTTGGTAGGGGCCTCCGGGGCGCCATGACGGAACCAAAAAGAGCTTCGTGGTGTTCGTTTTGAGGGGCGCTCAAAACGAACAGAGCGCGGCCTCTCGCGGGGTTTTCCTAGGCGTCTCTCGGGGCTCTCTTCGAAGTTCCTGAGATGTTGTTGGGATCCTTTGGGAAGCTCCTCGCGCTTTGAAGGCCGTCTCGGGAGGGGCCTCGAGGGCGCCAGGACGGAACCAAAAAGAACTTCGTGGTGTTCGTTTTGAGGGGCGCTCAAAACGAACAGTGCACGGCCTCTCCAGGGTCTTCCTAGGCCTCTCTCTGGGCTTTCTTCGAACTTCCTGAGATCTTCTTGGGATCCTTTGGGGGGTTCCTCGCGGTTTCAAGGCCGTCTCGGGAGTGGCTCGTTTTCCCGAGGAAATGCCTCTTTTTCCCCTCCTCAGACGCTCCTGCCGGCGCGTGTGGGAGTGTCTTGGGCCATCGTGGGCGCAAGGGGGAGGCTGCTGAGCTTCCAGGGCGCCTCCGGGGAGGCATCTCGGAGCGTCTCGGAGCGGCCTGGGGCAGCCTCAGAGCCGCGCTGGAGTCGACCAGAGCTTGCTGGGGCGCCCGGGGAGGGCTCCGGAGGGGCCGGCCCGCGGCCACTGCTTAAGCATGTTGGCGAGCGGTGAACGCTGCATTGTAGTAGAGACTAGGGCTGACCCGCGGCCTTCCGGCCGCGGAGTCTGCCCGCCATGGTGTGGACGTGGAAATGTAGCGTCTCCGGGGCCTCACGGGGGAGGGGTGGAGGGGACGGTGTGGATGGAGGAAGTGGCCGCTGAATGGGGAGGTGGGCGAGGGATGCAGGCAAGCAGGCCTGAAGGCAGGAACGCATGTAGGCACAACGTGGTGTGGACAGAAGCTGTTTCTCACGCCGCGCTGTGTTCATCATAGCCTTTGCGGGGCGGGTCGCCGTGATAATTTCGTCTGTTCTTAGATGGGGCCGCGTGATATACGAGCCAAGAGGCCCGCAAGAGGGCGCCGAGACGGCCCGCACTGGGGCCGCTCAGGCGCCCGGTGCACGGGAGGATCACCGATAGGACGCTGGAGAAACTGTCAAGAACCTGTCACTTTGGTTTACCTGGGCTGCGCGTTAGGAGCCTTCTCGGGGTGTCTGGACACTCTTGGGGCCTTCTTCGGGGCATGCTCGGGACATCTGTGTGGCTCCTAGTATCGGCTTTTGGGCCATTTTGGCCGCCCTCCTCGTCCTCCCCTGGATCGGTCATCCAGTCGATCTTATTTAGGAGCCATCTCGGTGTGTCTGGACCGTCTTGGGGCCTCCTTCGGGTCATGCTCGGGACATCTCGGTGGCTTCTATCGGCGTTGGGGGCCATTTTGGGTGTCCTCATTCTCCTCCCCTCGATCCTTCATCCCGTCGATCTTCTCGTCAGTCGTCGACGCTCCCCAAGAGACAAGCATTCAAGGCCTCATGGGGTCCGTTTGGAAGCCTCTTTTCGTCCTCTTGGGGGTCTCTCGGGCCCTCGTGGGCCGCCTTGGGTGCATCTTGGGCCGCCTTGGAGCGATCTAGGGCCGTCTTGGGCGCCTCTGGGGCCATCTTGTGGCCATCTTGGGGGGGCCGTCTTGGGGCCGTCTTGGGCCGTTATTGACCGCTCTTGGGGCTGTCTTGGTTGCCTCTGGGGCCGTCTAGGGCGTCTCTGGAGCCATCGCGGGGCCGCCTCGGGCCGTTCGGGGGCCCTCCTAGGGTGCTCTGGGGGCGTCTTGGGGCGATCGGGAAGGCCTGTATAGCCGTTTTGGGCGCGGTGAAGACGAAAAGAGCCAGCATATCAAAAATGTACGTTTTCCGACGGGAATGGGGCAATGTTTGCCTCTTGGGTTCCTCCTGGGAATCCTCCTGGGCCGCCTTGGGAGCCTCCTGGCCTGCCTTGGAGGCCTCTGGGGCCGACCTGGGGCTCGGTGGGGTCCCTCTTGGTCTGTCCGGGCGCCCTCGTGGGCGTCTCTGAGCCGTCTCGGAGCGGCCCGGGGTCTCGCAGGGCGGCCTGGAGAGCCCGGCCAACCTTTCAAGACAGAGGACCCTCTGGCACGCAGAGATCGCTGCATTACAGAAGAGACGATGGGGCTGACCCGTGGACGACATCCGCGAAGTCCGCACGGATGGGCATGTGGTGCTGGGCATGCTGCCAAAAGGCTGACATGAAAGACCATCCGGGGCAACGTGCCTGACCATCCGGGGCAACGTCCGGGGCGGGAATAGGCTCAGGGCGGGAAGGAGGATGAGGAGGAGGAGGAGGAGGAGGAGGAGGAGAAGGAGAAGGAGAAGAGGAGGAGAAGGAGGAGGAGGAGGACACGATGGCGTGGTGCTCAAAGAAAAAAAGGGCGATGGATTTGTTGGTCACATCCGGCAGGGAGCACCAGGCAAGCGACACACGGAGGCCGAAGAGTCCTATGCGGAGCCCGACTCGGAGTGAGGAACTGGGGCGAGACGGCTCATGGCATCGTTCAGTCTTAGGAGCCTTCATCCTCCTCCTCATCATCCTCACCATCCTCATCATCCTCATCCTAATCCTCATCCTCATCCTCATCATCATCCTCACCATCCTCATCATCATTATCATCAGCATCCTCATCATCCTCATCATCCTCCTCATCCTCCTCATCATCACCATCATCAGCATCAGCATCAGCATCAGCATCATCAACAGCATCATCATCATCATCATCATCGTCATCATCATCTCATCATCGTCATCATCATCAACATCATCATCCTCATCATCCTCATCGTCATCATCATCCTCATCATCCTCACCATCCTCATCATCCTCATCGTCATCATCATCATCAGCAGCAGCATCATCAGCATCATCGTCATCATCAT